GGGGGGGGGGGGGGGGGGTTCGAGGTATAAAAACTAATTAGAACATAGAAGTGTTTGGATTATGGAACAGTTGGAGCAGTGTGTTTTAATGAATTCTATTGCATATCTATTACAATGATGATCCCCCCATTTTTTTACACATCTAGTGGTACATTGATGGTCAAGTACATCAGATGATTAAGAACTTACGTATTACTTTGTACAGCTCCCCGAAACTTCACAAGACAGACATTTCAAGGTGAATGTTTTCAAGCTGATTTATAGGATTGCTACAAAGACTCACTAGTGAACTTTCACATGACTAATCAATTCATGTATAATTGATACAATACTACAGTCAGTGAAGGAGTCACAAATAGTGGCACAGCTGAAAACCTTTGCTTGGTGAGAAACACTTAATATGGGCCTAATTAGTTTCACATACACCCGTCTGCCCCTAGTTACGGCCCTGCTAATTATGTTACGTACAAGAAAAGTTGTTACTAAAAAAAACCACCAAAGAAGTCAATGACTAAAATGAAGACAAACCCCAAACCTGATATTTAAATACTGCAAGATGAACTGTTTATAACGAGAAGGTGTGAACGCTCATGGCATGACACAATTTGAACAAAATAGAAACACGCAGAGAGGATTTGACATATGAGAAAACTGAGTAACACATTGTCAAAATGTTCACCATTGTCCCCATCCGGGAGTCCGCTATGTTCAGCTCTGTGCATTCCCCTTCCATGCTCAGCAACGCCTTTGAAACAACGTCCCATTTAGTTTTTATTTAAACTTGCCTAACGCTAGGTCAGTCTAAAAAAAAAATGTTTATAATTCACATTTTCACTTTGACATCTATCTTGGTTAAGCCATTCTGTAAAAAGTCTTTTTTTGCCTCTTACATACATAAAACAGAAAAACTGACATGTTAAAAATCTAGCACTGATGTTTCACTGGTAAGATGATTGCTTACATTGCATGACTATTACTTGGGAATTAAAACCTATCATATCACTCAAAAAAAAAAAAAGCACACTTATGCTGTAGACATCTTTTTTAGCAGCAGTTTGCATACCATAAGTAGCATATTTATTTATGACTAAGAGTTTGATGAGACAAACCGTAAGTAGCATACTTATGCGTTGCTGACAGTTTTACATACAAAACAAGTTAATATGATATGATGGTACAACTTTTATCAATCGTATTCATGACTGCTCTCCCGCTGTTTCATTGCCGTGGTGTTCTGTGCTTCTGCTCTCCCTTGATTCACTCTCACCACAGTTTCTGTGTTTCCACTTTTGGTGACCCTGAGATTAAAAAATGGCCAGATTTGGCAGCTTATTAAATACTAGGCTCAGTAGAAATGTCATTAGAAACTGAATATAAATGAAATTAAAAAAAATAATAATTTAATAACAAACACTTAAGCTTGCATGTATTTTAACTGGAGAGTCCTTTTTCAGCCTTAAATTAATTTAAAGAAAATACATTACAATTACTAATTGGAATAATGGTCTAGAATGCTTGTTTTCTTAAATAAATATTATTTTGTTGAATCTTAGTACCAGTAGTTAATTTCGTAAGAACTTAACAACGAAATAGTAGAACAAGGGTATGTGGCAGCTTGAAATATAAAGTTACAAGAAGAATGCTGTGGCTTCATTTATTACCCTTTAAGAAATACACAGACTTTCTTTCATCTATATTCATGGATGAATGGATGGATGCAAAGATAATTAAAAAAAAAATATTGGAGTAAGATAAATGGGAAAACAAATTTATATAGCAAATGAAATGGGGTTTAATGTCAAGTTTCGGATAACTTACACTTCATCTATCTCTATCTCCTCCTCGTCGTCACTGTCCAGCGGGACTTGCAGGTAAGGGTTGTCACTGGTGGGGCGGAACTTGTAACCGGTCAGGGTGAAGAAGAAAAACAGGAAGACTTCCTCAAACAGATCTTTCATCCAGCCATAACGGAACGGAAGAGTTATCTGGCAGTGGACAGAGGACATTTAAAACTCATTCCTCAAAAAGGTCAGTTTTGGTTGAAACAAAGCAACCAGAAAGACAGACTGACCTAGTCTTGGAGCATGGGAAAACTGATACAATAATTAATATACAATAATAATTATTATTTTTAATAAATCGTACAGAATTATAAGAACAGCTTCTTTAAAAAAAAAAAACAATAATTTTAGACAACAATGTAAGACAGGCGTCTTAAAAAACAAAAACAAAACAAACAAAGAAATCTAAACATATTTTGTAAGCTTACATTTTAATCTTTTTTATTTAAAAAAAAAAAGTTTTGGCAAAGAATTGTAGAAAAAAAACAACTGTTGCATCTTTAGTTTGATTTGCATTATAAGACTTGCACTGAAAAAGAACTATTTTTTTTTCATAATGGTGGAGAAAAGAATTGTGAAAACCTCAACCTGAGCCTGAGGAAAACTTACCAAGAGCAAATATCCAATTATTCTAGTGAAATAGATATATGCAACAACCTGTCATTAAAAAAAAAAGGTCACAGGGTTAATTTTGGAGATTTTAAAAATAAAATTTTAAATTTTGCTAATCTCATATTCATTATCTCCCCTTAAGTTTGACTAGTGTTAAAAGTAATTATAATACAGTTCCAGCAGTTAAGAATTTTAAAATGTAAAGCTTTATTTGAAAGCCAACTGCATTTATCTGAACAAGCAGAACAACATTGATCAATAAATATATGGAACATTTAGATTCAACTGCCGACTCTTTCCCTGGATCTATTCATCAACCAACCCAACTATCTACACATCGACTGTTTACTTTAAATCGAATGCAATGAAGTGGTTGAACATAATTAGTTTTGGTAAGGTTATAATCACACACACACCATTATGTAGAAGTGTCTAAATAGTTTCAGCTTATTAAGATTTATTGCAGCTTTCCCATCTGTCTTGGAGGCCTCTTGAAGATGTCGAATTGACCTGTAATAAGAGAAATTAAAATAATTATAAAAAAACAATACTTTTTTTAGTTAAGAGGTTCAATTCATTTTGTAAAGAAAAAGTGAGATAAAGTGAGTGTGCCTAGTTATTAATTCACTTTCACTTCAAGACTGTTCTTAACATTATCACCACACTCAGGTGATATTATTTGCTACTTGTTACAATTCACTTCAAATTCTTTTAAAACTTTCAATTTTATCATTTAAAAAAATCTTAAAACAAATATATCATCCACCAAAATATGACCCAGTGAAATTCGCCAGCTATCATTGTGGTGTTCACCAGCTATCATTGTGATAGTCACCAACTATTATTGTGATATTCCTCAGCGATTATTGTGATTTTCACTAATATCATTGTGACTCACCATATGACGGGGAAAAGAATGGCAAAACAGCACAGCAGGTCAACACCTGTAAAAATTTTATTCCAGGTGTCGTAAGATGAATATCCTTCCTCACTTTCCTCCACTATGACCCAGGCAACATTCATTAATATCTAGATAAGATGTGTATATTGGTATATTAGGAATGTATTCAGGTAAAATATGAAACATGATGAATATATTTATATATTTAAAACCATTGATAGATTTAGATGTTTTGATGTTTACTAAATATAGAAAGAACATTTATATTTGATTTGACATGACAAATTTTAAAAAAAATCATACTTTTAACAAATATTTAATGGACTCAAATTTAACTAAGGGGTACCCTTATTTTTTTTTAGAGAATGATATATATTTTAATTAAAATAAATATGTTTTCTTTTTGTGTAATAATTTGGCAAATACACAAAATAAATAAAAATATCTAGTTTAAAAAATAATAATTTATTAAAAAAAAAAAACAGGCTTCTAGACATTACCTAAGTACATACCCTGACAATTATAAATATTTAAAATCTTTAAAACAGATGCATTAACAAATTTGCCTAGTTTCAAGCAAATGTATGTACATATACACAGAAATACCTGTAATGGAATGACAATAAGAAAAAGTTTCTTCTCTCTATCTGTGAACACATGCTTAATGAAAGCCCAGCCAGCACCAATCAGAAGCACTGTAACAAACAGAACAGCTCCCCTCATCCTGGAAAACAGGATGTGATTGGATAAATGAGTGATAATTTTATATGTACTTTCAGCTTCAAAGAACAAACAATTAATAAAGTGATTTAGAAAACTCTGTTTCACAAATCTTTTTTAATTTCCCACCCCTAATCTTATTTAAATTATTCAACTGATTCAAATCAGGTTTTATGTTAAAAAAAGTCAGTGAACATATTTTCAATTAAATTTGATACAACAGATATTAGACAATAAACATCGCTTTTTTTGTTTGTTTGTCACAACCTTTTAGCTACTGGGTACTTAGCTATTCATGATTTCAATACTTACAAATACACAATGTACCACAAAATGGCCCAGGCATCAAGATGAATGCCAGTTTTCTCTATCATATGCATGTTAACCTATTCCATAAGATAAAACATACAAATGTAAACATTGAATTTATAAAGAAACATTAAGATGAACTGTTGTTGGGTTGGTAAAATAACAAATAGCTGTGCACTTAGATTTGTTTAGAATAAAAAAATACTTTGTGAAACACTAAAAATATAAGCACACACAGCGGTACTTCCTTCATTGTATCACAGCCACATTTTTAATTAATGAACTACTTTTTCCTGGTACTCTACTTTGAATATTTACAAAGGCCAAACATTTCGTTAATACATATGACACTTGTTACCACTAAGAAGAATTCAAGATATGAGTGCTAGGAAGAGTAGAGTGACCGTTGAAATAAATGTTTGGTGGCATGGGGGATGAAGGATAACATAATAATTGAGGCTCACCGAAATACAAGGTATTAATTAACTTACCCCATGGAACAGGTTGGAGATACTTTTAAAGAAGACCACCACAAGCATGAGATAGTGAATCTTATAGACACCCTCACTAGAGACAGAGAAATTCATTTAAACAATTAAAACTGGCAAATTTATCAGACTTCTGATCATATGTGTTTAAGAAAATATTTCTTAATTTATTATTTCCTAACATTTGATTAAATACATTTTTTTTAAAATGTTTTAAATGATAAAAATATGTTTTTAAAAACTACAGAATAAAATGTACTGGTAACCAATAGATTCTGATATTCTAGTACAAGTAATATGTTTTGAATTAGTTAATTAGTGTTTAAATAATTTGTTTTATCAGTAGAGAAAATCAACACGGAGAACTGAAAACCAAACAACGGTGAGGATGAAGAACGTGACGCTAAAGACAAAGTACACGACTTTGAATGTTTTGAATAAGTTAATTAGTGTTTAAATAATATGTTTTATCAGTAGAGAAAATCAACACAATAATATTCTAAAGCTTAGCACTCACTTGGCCTTGCGGAGAACTGAAAACCAGACAACGGTGAGGATGAAGAACGTGACGCTAAAGACAAAGTACAAGACTGGGATGGGCATCTCATCTGCTGACAAGTAGCTGAATTCATTCTTCTGAATGATTTGAATCTGAATGGATCATGGAGTAAATAGCAATTGACACAGATATGTAAAACCTGTCTGAATGGATCATGGGGTAAATAGCAATAGACAGATATGTAAAACCTGTCTGAATGGATCATGGGGTAAATAGCAATGGACAGATATGTAAAACCTGTCTGAATGGATCATGGGGTAAATAGCAATGGACAGATATGTAAAACCTTTCTGAATGGATCGTAGAGTAAATAGCAATGGACAGATATGTAAAACCTGTCTGAATGGGTCATGGAGTAAATAGCAATGGACAGATATGTAAAGCCTGTCTGAATGGATCATGAAGTAAATAGCAATGGACAGATGTGTAAAGCCTGTCTGAATGGATCATGGAGTAAATAGCAATGGACAGATATGTAAAACCTGTACTGTAGTCCAGTTGGTTAGAGTGAAAGAGGTGGATGCTATTTAACAAGGGTTGGGAGAGGGAAAGTTGTGAAAAGTTTCATGTTATAGTTGAGGCTATATAATATATTTGCCTATAAATCTTGGATGAAATATGGGATGCACTGGCATGGTGTTTGAGAAAACAAACTACCTGTGGCTAAGACTGAAAAAGTTTGCGTTACTGCAATACTTTTATGCATGATAACATCTGTTTAATGCAAGAGTTGCTTTTTATTTTCAAGCCATAGTTAATCACATAACTATGTTAACATGCTCATGAGAGGACAGTGAGTGACAAGGGGATTAAAAAAGCACAGTTAGCTCAGGTGGCTGGTATTAATAAATAGACTAGTACTAGTACTTTAATAACTACTAGAAATCTATATCACATGAATATATAACTTTGAAAAATAATTCACTATTTTTAGATAACAAATCACTGGAAAAATAGCATAAGTCTTTGCTTATTAAATTTAAAAAAAAAAATATGATAGTTTTATCAATTAAATGTGAAAGCCATCTCTCTCTATCTCAAAAAGTCTAGTGCAAAAAAAATAAAAAACCCAAATATATCATGAGACACTTGATTTTAAAATGTTTATTGCGGGAGCTTTGCCAAACACCAATAAATTGATGAGAAGTAAAAACTTACTGAAAGGTCGACCAGAGACTTTTCATTCATACAGTTGTGGAAGTAGAGGTTGTAGAGCCCTTCTTCAGATTCCTTGGCAACATTGACTTGAAACTGTCAAAGAAATGGGCAATATCATCTTCAGTTGTCAAGCTTATATATACTAAAAATATTAATGAACACAAGATTTGCATTATAGAGATGATGCATTAAATTACCAAAGCATTTTTTTTTTTTTTAAGTTTATTTTTAATATGTACATTGTTTTAAGAATAAAAAAAATTATGAAAACTGTAAGTTAGTTAAGATTGTACATTACTTGCAAATAAACTGTTATAGTTCATATGGTAGTTTTAAAAATAATTTAAAATAGGTTTAAGTTAATTAAATGAGTTTTTACTTCTACATTCAAGCTCAATAAAGTCAATATCTACTCTTAATTTAGTTTAAAAAATGAATAGAATTCTAGTTCAGGATTAATTAAAATTGAATCTATAGTCACCATAAGAAAAATCAATACATTAATAAATAAACAAAACAACATTACTGAAGACATAGAACTTACAAATGTCTGATATTTATCTGTGTCAATTTTAGTTAAATTTAGGTAAATTTTCTCGGCTACGACAGGTTTGCCAGGCTTGTCATCTCTTTTTTCCTAGAAGTAGAATTCAAGGTAAATTAAAAATGTTATAGTATTTGAAGATCTTCAGAAAATTAGAAAATGGAATGTGAGCTCATGGGAAACATTACTCCAGTTAATAATTTGACCCGAAATATCTGTTAAATTTTTAAAAAATTCTCTCAGCGTCATTTTAGTATATATAAAGAAAATATTTTTGAAGTAAACATTTTAAAAAATTTTTAATTAATAAAAAAAACCATTAGCAGACTAAAATTAATCTTAAAAAAGCTTAATTTAATATGATAAAACTATAATGCAATAAATAAATTTAAGACCTAGAATGAACACTGCAGGTCAGACAGAAAAACACTTAGACATTTTTTATATATTGAATTGTAATTACATAAGCATTTCTAAATTTGACTAAATCAAAATACGAATAAATGTTAATTTTTTTAGATAAACTAGCTTTAAAGCTAACATTAACAACTATAAAATTATAAAACTACCTTTGGCTTTTTGGTGTCTACAGTTACAGCAGCAACTGTTGATTCTACTGCTCGTTTTCTGCGACTAAAGCAATAAAAAATAAGACTGATAACAATGCAGAAAATAAGCAATGCGGTTCAAGAGACATAAATTTAACATAGAAGGCCGGGAATATATTTAGCAGCACCAGAATGTTAATAGCCATTTCTTGAATTGATTACATAACTGAGCACAATAAGGTAAATGGTAGATATCTAGGTTATTTAAATTGGACAAGAGAATCAATCAGTCTATTACATAGAAATCTTCTACTATGACACAAATGGCATTCAAGAATTCTAAATGATTTTTAGCACAAGGAGGCCTTCATCTGAATGTTCTCCAGTTGTACATAGAGCTTCTCAGGGTAAGGTAATGGCTGTGCTAGAAGTTATCTGACTCGATGTTGAAAATCTTGCAGTCTTGGAGTCTGACACAAAAACATGTCTTGGGCCACTCTTTAACTTATGGAACATGTGGTGCGGTGGGTTCAAGAACAATTAAATGAGGGACATACATACTTGTGTTACAGTTACACTGATACATTTGCACAAACAAAATACCTGTGTGTTTCATCTTCATTCTGTCCATCCAATGCCCTCTTTGTATCTTTGGATTTACCACCCTCTTTGGAGTCTTCACTGTGCTTCTTGCTTGTCTCACCACCTGGCTTTTTTTCATCTGTTGGGGTCTTGCCTTTGCTACCCTTATCATTGTCTGTCTTTGAGACAGAATCTGTTTCTGTTTTTGTGACAGCACCTGTTTCCGTTTTTTCATGTTTTTCACTTTTTTTATCCTCTGGTTTAATTACTAGAATTTGAAAATATTGCAATCATCGTTTTGTCTAATAATAATAAGATTGTTAATAATCACTGTCAAAATTACTCTGCTGGACTAATTAATAATAAATTACTTATTTCAGTTAAATTGTATTTACATGGTCGAAATTTCATTTTTTTTTTTTTTTAAATCCTTTAGGAAAAAATATTATAAATGATAAAAGATAATTTTTTCCCCATATGTAAGCAATGTGGTTATGAACAGGTTAATTTTTGTGGATATAACAAAAGGCAGCAAATTAGGGTCATATGCAGTATCAGTGGGCTGAACAAGTCCAATGCTGCAGTAATAATGATCTAAGATTACCTTTGTTGGTGTCTGGCTCCACAGGTAGAGCCTTTGTTGGTGGTGGGGTCGCTACGATACTCAACTCTCGTAAATCCTCACCTCGTCTCTCCACTACAACTCTTGGTGAAAGAAAGTTAAGATTTAACTTTTAGTTATCAAAACAGTCATCTAATTCAAATTTTCTATTCTCTTAGTCACAACAATGTTTATTTTTTTAATACTGTAGTTACGAAACTAAAGCTATTGATACAAAATTATTTTAAAGACATTTTTTCTTGAACACAAAATAGTGGTAAATACAAATGTTTTTATTATCTTCTAAAATTGTTTTAAATTATAGAAGATAATAAAAACATTTGTGTGAGGAACATGTTCTTTTTTATTGACCTCAAACTTACTTCATTTTTTCAAAATCAAATCGAAAGATTACTGTATTTGTTGTTTTATCTGTATCATTGAGAGCACACTTTTGTAAGCTTTCCTAAAGGGTAAGAGAGAAAAGTCACAGCAAAATGTATTTTTGAATTATTACTTTTCCTAGGTATCATTATTAAAAAAAAAACTTTCTGTTTTCTTTTATAGAAGGATAACTTAAAAAAGTAAATAGAGAAAGCTGTGTTGCTTCAGATTATAATCATAGAAGAGAGAAACAAAATAATAATTAAATCCTCCATGAAATAAATAAAAATCAAACCACACAGATAAACATTTTATTCAATTTTTAATAAGACAACACTTCAAAAAAGTAATCAATGGCTTCTGATGTCTTACCATGTAACTGCTGAATCCTGGACTTTTGCTTTTATCCAGTGTGAAACCAAAAGGCTAGAGATGAAAGGGGGAAAAGGACCAATGTGTTTTATCTTACATGCAAACTCTTACTTTGTAACTGTTGTAGATAACACCCACTTCTATTCACTTTCTTAATGCAAATAAGAATATCAAATACCTAAAACCTGTAACATATTCAACATTAAAAAAAACTGCTCTGATTTTTAGACTGCATTTAATTGTAAAAAATTTAATTTCCAAACATTATTCTATGACTTTAAAAGGAATAAAAGTATGAATGATCCAATTCCTCTTACTTGATTTGTCACATTGCCAGCTGATCTAAATGAAAACATTGTCACATTGACAGTCAAAGTACCAGCTTTAAGAAATCCAAAGGTGTGGGTTAGCATTATGTCACGTCTGTCATCTGTCTGAATATGTGGAGGCAGAAAAAAAATGTAATCTACATTTTATGATAATTGGTCCAAATAAAATAATTTGACTGAGAAAAAAACAACAAATTCTTTACTATTTATTCCATCTTGTAAACAAAGTGATTCAATACTTTATATCCACATGTTATAGGCAACTTATTTTCCACCACTATATTCATGAGTCACAATTCAGCATCAGCTTGATTTTACCAACTAACTTCTTGCATTCTCAATCTCATTATGCTCTTCCTATTTGTTACCGTATTGCTATCACATTATGTCAATTTTTTATTTCTAAATGAGATACATTTATTCATTACATTCTTTTCCCAATTGTTTTTAAAGCTAAAGAATAAATATTGCGATTTAGCAGATTCAAAGTTTTTACTTCTATTGAAAGAAAACAGCCATGCAGATATTTATATTTTTAAGTCCTCGTTGATGCAAAGGTGATGTAAATTAGTTATAAAAATTGTTCCATTTTTTGTATGTGGTAAAAACGAGAATCCAAATGAGATAACTTTTGGGTTAACAGAATGGGTTTTGCCAAGAGGTGTCAGCCCAATAGCTTAGGAATTACTGCATGACTTATAGAATGAATTTAGAAAGCATTTAAACCAGATTTATTTTCATTTGAGGTAGAGTCAATATTATGAATTATCATCGTTTTCTGTGTGCAAAATCAATTATCCTCTGAGAACTGGGGAGACACCCCTCTCCAAACCTCTCCCCCCACTTTAAAAAACCAAAATAAGAAGCAAAAAAATCTTTTTGGGGAGGGGAGACCCTTCCCCTAATAAGGAAACAAAAACTTGCATTAAGTGTACACAAACACCTAACCCAAAAACAACCTCCAAATGATGTATCATTGTATCATGCTTGTGACTGTGCTGCTTCAGACATAAACTTACCAAACTAACATTTACAGTGTGTAAAAAAAATTAAAAAGATTTGGTTATGCTACACAATGTAAAAAAAGTAGGCCTACATCAATATTAATATTGCTAAAGCCTGGTCTTAATCATCCCCAACAAAATGTAATGTACACTATGGTGGGTTAAAGCGTTTTGTAGATAGAATGTTTATTTACTAGTCATACTAAATTATAGTTAATAAAAGGTTCCTTCAACAAGTTGTCGTCATTGGTGTGAGTGTAGTGTGATTGATTCATTGAATTGAAGCAGTGACTCACAAATTCAGAATGTCCAATGACCAAATCAATTTATATACGCGATTTACAACAACTATATAAAATGAATTGAAAAATTAGCATCTATAAGTCTCACTTGTAATTTTAGATTATGAATCCAGCCAGACGCATGATTGCAAAAAAGCATAATTAAAAGTAAAAGTTTTGTGTTGACAGTCATGTTTACAAGGATATCTTCCGCCATGTTGTAACCTATGACGTCTTGAGTTCCGGAACATTTAATCAAGCTATAAGAAACGTTTTAGTTAAAGAGTTTAGACCATTGTCCTAATAACCCGACATTTTACTAATGCAAAAAAAATGTATAAATAAAAAAAACAACAACTTATTTACATGTATCAAAAATAAAGATAATATCTCTGATATTTCTGTTTAAATGATTAAAACTGTATTACTGAGTCATAAATAATTTCTTGAGACTTCATTAAATTATTCAAAGATTTCCTGCTTATTATTTGATGTTATACCGTATTTACCTAAATCATATTTTAGCATAAATAATGATTTCATAAGACAACGTTTATAAAGGCCCAAATGCAAAGTTAATCCCCAAAATATTTTTAAAAATATTTAATATTTTCAACTGTTTATAGTTTTAAGTTTACAAGTCGATTGTTTTTTTGTTTTTTTTTAGAGCAGTAGTAGTTCAATATCAGTTGAATTACAGATATTCAATACTTTAAAAAAATTATTATAACATGAACTTAATAATTTATTTTAAAAATATATGCTTGAGTATATTAGAAAGTATATTTCCAAAGAATTGAAGTAATATTAACAAATTTAGTTTCCATAGCATTCAGCCCATCAAATTAGCACTACTACTGAATTCATGTTTTTTATATAAAAGTCTTTCTTCACATAATTTTTATTGTCATAAATCAAATTTAAACATTTTGAAAAAAGGAAAGAAAAACTTTGATTAATTTTTATGTTTACATATATTAGAACAAGAAAAAATGTGCTATGATTATTTTTGTAACTTCTGTTCCGTTTTCAATTAGACTGTAAGAGAATTCCGTTTCCATTTTTTATATTTTTCATTTATTATGGGGGTGGAGCACGGAGGTTGGAAAATAGCACAACAACACTGCAGTCAGTCATTCATAGTTCATAGTCATTACGGCTAACAAAAGTTTCTGGATTTACCAATATTGAATCCGTAAAGGAAGTGGATTACACTATATTTCTAAGACTTTGTGAATTAGACTAACCACTTAAACAACATTTTGGTAAGTTTCATTACTTAGTTAAAATGTTAGTGTTTAAAATATCAGCTGAGACGAGTGTCAGTGAAAAAAAAAAAAAAACAAGACAAAAATCATTCGAGTGTGAAACTTAGATGAGATGAGAGATTGAAAATTTGACTGTATAATTTAATGTTTAATCATCTGAAATCATTTTATTATGAATTTAAAATAGGTCATTGGCAAAGCAAAGATTTATATAGTCATTTGTCTAGCCCACCCGACTAATCGTACGAAAATGATTCAAAATAAAATGATTAAATTTATAGTATAATATAGTATAGGCATAGGCATAGGCTAGTACGGACGGCTAAGACTTAGGCTAAGGCTTTAAACTTTAAGCCTAAGGCAGGAGTAAAGTTAAGTGTAATATTAGTATTAGTTTTCAAAAAATGTGTTAAGTCTTACTTACTTAAGTCTTAAGACTTCTTAAGACTTTATTAGTTATAATATTAGTATTAGTAAATTATTATGTCATTATTACATTATTATTTAGTATTATTGGGAGTAATTATACCATAATTAAAATAAAAGGCCTAGTTAATAGTTTTTTGCTAAGTTAGTATGACTACTGCAGTCAGAGTTGAGTTATTTATTCAAGTAGCCTGTATAATAGCTTATTTACTATATCATGCCAGTCATGATACTCATCTACTTCCACCCTCTTGACTCTGTTCAAAAATATTTCTAATGCTAAGTAAAAGTAGTTTTTAAGTCAGTGGACCTGACTTTTACTTTACTATTAATTTATGTCTAATCTAGAGCTAGAGGGGCAATACTAATTTTTACCTGCCCTGACAGTAAACTTATTAAATTATTATATTATTTAGTGCCTAAATGTGATTACATAACTGAGCTCTTGCTCTTGTTCTTCTTTGACTTTGAGATTAATAAACCTTTTTAGTGTGGTCTCATTGTAAATATTGTCATACTTATAGAAATATTTGCAGTATTAGAGAGCTCCTTTTTGAAGGGTGGTGGCTTCACTAATATTTTCAGAGGGGTTGATATCAAACGGATGACTGTCAATAACATTCTTTTTATTGCTTTCACTTAGCGTTGTTTGCCCACCTTATAAGTGTCAGTATATTCTAAAAGTGTTATTGTTGAAACTCTTAATTATAATTTGTACCCTCCTTGGCATCATTTTGCAAAAGATTATACAGTATGCAGGCAGGGGTTGACCGGGCCCATTGGACACTCACTTCCATCAGTGAATGAGGGTGTTTTTTATCAGTGAAATCTTCCCTGGCCTATTTATTTGGGTAGATATCATTGTGGCCACCATTTGGGAACATGGCCATTATCTTGTCTGTTCTTATTTAAGTTCTGCTCTTGTCACACCAACAAACGAATCTCTGGGTCTAATGAACTAAATCCATAAGCGTGTTTCATCTAACTAGCACAGAATGAACTCAAGTTCAAATTGAACTGGTTTCAATGTTATGTGAGGAGATAGTCCATGGGTGTTGACAACACGAGTTACTACACTGGGTCACCCCATCTTGTATGATGCCACTGCATGTTTAGATTAGTTCTCAGTTGTGTGTTCTTAAAAAAAAGTGGGCATAATATAATTATTATAATTTGTATTTCTGGCTTTTAAAAAATTATGCCAGTAGGAAGAACATAATCTATTAATATGAAAGGTCTAAAATTATTTTTATATAAAGTATTCATTCAATCCACTTTAAAAAAAATGAAGTGCTTCTTTAGTTCAGTTTTTCTCTTTCCATAATTCATAGTTTCTCAAAAGTATGACTAACATAGTTGTTAAATAAATGTATACTGATAGTTAGTAGACATCACACATCACTGTTATTTGCTAATTGTGTTAGGGTCTTAGAAGGCAATCATGTCAGGTTCAGCGCCGTCTATAAACATTTAATACATGTCTTTGAATACTTATCCTCTTCCATTACAGCATATATTAATACACATATTTTGCATGAAAAATGGTGTCCTTTTGAGAGTGCCCGGGGGGGGGGGGGAGCAGGAGTCCACCTTAACCCCTCCCTTTTTAACCAAATCAAATCATAAATGTGTTTGATAAGCTTGTTGGTTTTTTTTAGTAGCTATTGACATGCTACTCAAATCTCTTTGGATTAATACAGTAAGAAATAGCAAGTGCTGATGATCCTACAGCACCCTTAGCTTTCCCCTCCCCCCATTTTTCAACCCCTGTCATTTTAAGTTTTTTCTTTAGAGATAACCAAAGTTTTATCCATTAAAAGTTTTAAATTCTACCAATTGTCTGTATTAGATGGATCTCGTTGTTGTTGTGTGACCGCCTGATCGGAGTAGCAGTCACCAGGTTTGTGGCCAAATACTTGTTTCCCCCACTCAGTTTTGGTCAATAGAAAACAATGCTGAGTGACATGTGAGTTACGCACAATAGGTAAACAAAAACCTCATTTGCCGTGGTGTAGTTACACAACCTGCTGGGGAACGGTCCTGTGTTAGTTAAGCTAGGGTCAGTTGGGTGCCCGGCTTGTAACGTCACTAAACTGTTGAAAAAAGAAAGGTCAAAGGAAGGCAATTAGCTCCCTCATCATTCCTCCCATCTCTCTATCTGTCTGTAATCCCTTGTATCACCCCCTTTTTTTTTCTATGGGGTTGTACTTTGTTTCATGACACACTTGCTTTCGTTAAAACATTTTTTCTTCTATCATAGCACTACCGTACAGTCGACTACCGTTTGCGTTTTGTCAACAAAAAACAAAATGGGGGGTCTGAGGTTTACAAGACTATTTTAACAGTAGGCTTGGTGTACGTAGGAACTTAAGATGTCACGTTGCCCTCGGGATAATTTAGAGTTAAAACGCTCCCAACTTCTAGGGGGCCTTGAAGTCTATTCATTTGGCTTTAGCTTGATTACAGCCACGCGTGTTACGTAGTTTCACTGACCTATGGGCAGTGCCTTAAGATGCAGACTTGGGACTTGGATGTATCAGCTTAATGGAATCGCCAATTGTCTGAAGTTCTGCACGCACGTTATTGTTACTGGCATTCTTGAATAACAAAAACAAAAGGAGAACCGCTGAGAACATTCCACGCGTGTTTGGATTGACGTCACGTGATGCATGTAGGTCAGGCCCTCCACCGGGGAGGTGTTCAATACGATGAAAGATGTTTTATTTCTGCTCTACGATGGGGTAACCCTCCCCCCCCTCACTTTTTGTTTCACCCCCCCCCGGCCACTGGAGTTGTGTCTGATTCACGTCACCCCCGCACCCCCCCCCC